GAAGAAAAACCCGTCCAGCCCACACAGTCAGGAAGGATGCCACGTCCCTCTGCACCAGGATGGCTGGGACTGAACTGAAGAGGAGGCAGGACCCAGCCCCACCCGCAGCTCATGACCATCCCATCATTGAGGGCAGGGGTCCCCTGGACTTTGAGGTCCACCTGTTCCCCCAGCAAATACTGACTGACCTCTGCAGATGTCGGAGGGCTGGGTGACAGGTACAAGCAGCATGCAGAGACTCTGCCCCAGGGGGTTGGGGTCAGGCAGGGGTGGGAGTGATGTTCAAAATCACATGGGCTGGCAGGGTGGCGTGATGGTTGAAAACTGGCTTGGATGCCAGAGGGCCGCAGTTTGGATCCCACATATGAGGGCCAGTGACACTGCCCTCTACAGCTAAGATGCTGAACAACAGCTCGACCTGGAGTTGGGTTGCTGTGAGTCAATGGCGGGCGACGGTGTAGGCTGCAGCCCCTGTGGCAGTGGGTTGCCATGGGCTACCGTGTGTAGCCAGCAGCCAGCGTGAGCGGCCAGCAGCTGCAGTGAGCGGCTGTCCAGAAGCCGGCGACTGATCTGCCTCACCCAGGAAGAGCGCAATGATGGTGCCAACTTGGGCCAGTGAAGCAACGTCCTCCACAACTAGACAGAAGAACAGAAGGACAGCAACTTGTCTGTTCCCCTTCCCCCAATTCCCCAGTGCTGTTCCCATCCCCCCAACTCCCCAATAAAAAAATCTTAAAAAAAGAATCACATAACTCCCAGTGGACGTGGGGTCACACGCTAAGGTACAAGCTCGGAGTGTTCACCCTGACTGGGGGGCTAGGAACCAGGTCCCTGGGCTGGAAAGAGTGAATGCGAGGGGGGGCTCCCATGGGCCCTCTGAGGTCCATGGTCTAGGATTGCTCCACTGGGGCTGAAATGCTTTACCCACCCCACCAGCGAAACCCCACAGCGTCCAGGGCTTGACCTCTCCCTCCTGCTGTGCCTGTGGTCCCGAGTCCCCTTTCAACCCTCACTGCTCCCTACATGGTGGCTCCACGGGGGACGGGGGCTGTGATAGCAGGGTCTGGACCCCTCCCACCTGAACTGTTGGCACGCGTCTGGGCATGCACTCAATGACTGCCAGCCTGTCCCAGCTACCTGGTGCTGCAGGATTCCTACACGACGGGCTTGGTGTGGGACAGAACAAAGCCACCTGGCTCTTGGGGCCACCCAACAGAGCTCCGCCCAGCAGGGCAGCACAGGGAGCGGCACCTCAGATGGAGGACGCCGGCTGTAGGTCTTCAAGGTGAAAAATTTGAAAACCTCTTCCCACTGGGACTGAGAGCTGAGAAGGGACACTGACACTGACATGGCCTTGGGAAGATGGGGACTCCTGGTGACCTGGCACGTCACCAGCAGAGAAAACCATCTGCCTTCTCTGTGCCCCCAAAGAGTTCCATGGCCCAGCAGAGGGTGCTGCTGCAGACCCCCGGGCCGAGCCTGGGCCCTGGGAGAGTTCGGGGTTGGAGGATGGAGTGGGGACCCGTCACGTGTGAGAGGGGCTGCAGTGGGCATGGCTGGGCCTACTGGGAGGTTCCCGGAGGTGTAGGCCACCTGCTCTGCTTTCACGTGGCGACCCCGGCCTCTCTGACGAGTGTGCCTCAGCCCCGCATAAAGGGGCTTTTCCCAGCTGCTGTCTGCACCCCCTCCACTGCCAGCCCTGAAGCCCACCCCTGCCGAGACCCCTGAGAGGAGCGTCAGAACTCACTCCCCCTGGGGCTCCAGGCCCCCACACCACCATCACGTCCACCAGCACTTGGCCAGAGGAAGGTTCCAGAAGGTTCTGGAGAAAGGAGGGAGAGCAGGAGGGCCTCATGGCAGGCGGGTAGAGGCTGACCCAGCATGGCACCCACAGGTGACACCCAGTTCCTGGCGAAGCATGAACTCCAGCCCTGACCCCTCCAAGGGAGGGCCACACTGAAGCCGCAGCTTCTGTCCTCCTTTGGTGTCACATAGGACCCTGAAGAAAACCAATGGAGGGAGCAGAGTGGCCCCATGGTGCCAGCTGCAGGTGGGCCTGCGATGGCTGCCCTGGGGGCCACCTTTGGGCCAGGGGTGCCCACTGTGCTCAGGTGACAGACAGCGAGACCTGGGAGACGGCAGGGCTGGAGCAGGGCCCAGCCGGCTCCTGGTTCCCGAGGTAACAGCCCATCCCAGCTTCCCGGGCAGGTGCCCCTGCAGGGTGGCTGCTGGCGCGTGGGGCCTGGCCGGTCAGGCAAGGGTCTGGGGAGGGTGTCCTCTTACTCGCTCGCTGGGCATCTGGGCTGGGGGATGGATGGGCAGGCCCGTGCCTGGTGTAGGGCAGGCCCCAGGCCCTCACTAAGGTGGGCAGAGGGCTTTGCGCTGTGCGGGGCTCCAGGGCGGGCTCCGGGCGGGCTCGAGAGAGCTGGCCAAGGACGCTGAGCAGCACTGGGCACCTCCACCAAGGCACCAACACGTGGTGACCACAGTGGGCTTGAGGCCCAAGGAGCAGGGTGGGCAGTGGGCGGGGGATAGGACAAAGCTCCCAGCCTGGAAGGCTGGCTGTGGCCCGGGCCCAGCCCAGTACTGTCTCACCAGGATGTCCCAGGTGAGGGTGGCGGGCCTGACGGTATCTGGGGTCCTGCTGGGCAGTGTGCCCCTCTGTGTCCCACTTCCTGGTGGAGCAGAGGCAGGGGAAAGAGAGGCCTTGACGATGGAGAGGGGGTTGTGCTGAAGGTTTCATCCCAACCGGATGCCCCAAAATAAACTGCAATCAGCAGCGTGACAGCTTCCAAACCCGCCTCTGAACACCCTATTATGGCCAACAAGCACTGTAATTTGGATCAAAAAGGGCCCCAGGAGAGGAGGGGGCAGGAAGAAAGCAGTTCCTGGGACCCCCATGGCTCCTTTCAGCTCCAGCAAAAGCACAGCCAGGCCCCCACAGGCCCCCCAGGACCGTCCTTCCGCCTCTGCTCACCTGGGGACTTTGGCTTCAGAAAAGTTGTCATCACTCCCCTGACTGTCACAGCCTCCAGAGTGAGGCCAGGCCCCCACAGCCAGCCACGGGCGGGGCCTGCAGGGGGCGGCAGAAAGGGCAGTGGGGGGGGGCAGGCTCTGCTCCCGCTGCTGGCCCCTCAGGGTCATTCTCAACACGGGCTCCAAAGGCCCCCTCCGTGGGCTCCAGGCAGTACAGGTGAGCCCTCCCTGTCACCAGATGTGGGGGCTTCTACCTCATTTTCACGGGGAGCCTGGGGGATGGGGCAGGGTCCCATCTCTGCCCCTCAGGGCCCTGGAGTCCCAGCTTACTGACCTCCCTCACAGGGTGCCCAGATGAAGTCAGCACATTGGGGCACAGGTGCCCCCCTGGGGCTGAGGGCGGGGCTCATCCAGGTCAGCTTGGCCGCAGACACCAGGGGCTTCGATGGAGCCCTGCACTGGACCCCTTAGGCTCCCATGTGGGTGGGGGTGGCGGGGCTCAGGCAGCTCAGTAACTCTGCCCTGGGTCCCCTCAAGGCTCCTGGAACCCTAGCTCACCGCCCAGGACCAGGTGCTGGCTTAAGCCCAACGCAGCACTGGCCAGCGGGGATGACCAGAGCTTTGGGCCGGTGTCAGAGGACCGGCAGTCCTACCTGCCCAGGGGAGGCACTGGCCTATACTGGAAAGGCACACACGCACACACATATGCACATGAAACCAGTGTGCATGCCACCACACACACACGTGTGTGAGCACACATGCTCGCCGTGTACACGTGGTCTTCCAGGAGACACTTGAAATCAGAGGTGAAGAAGCGAACGTGACGACTGTGGAGGAGCCACGCCCAACACCTTCACGCTCTCAGGGTTGGGAATGTTTCTGTAACCCCAGAAACCAGGCCCGTGGAGGCCCTTCCAGAGATGGGGCTCGCGGGGCAGGGCTGCTGCCCACTGACCACAGCTCTGTCAGGATCTTTGGAAAGCCCATAGGGCACACGGTCCTGCAGAGGGTGGTCCAGGGCAACAGGCACCCCCATGCCAGCCTGGACCTGGGCCGCCTAAAGCCCCTTCTCCCCCCCTCCACCCAGAGCCCAGCTCACATGCTGCACCTCCTCCCATGCCCGCCACTCCTTAGCTCTGTCTCAATGACCGGCTAGGAAGGGATGGAACTTTCTGCGGGCAGGGGGATGGGGGCAGGGGGCAGCGTAGTCTGAGGTCATCCTCTACTGGGGGACAGAGAACCCTCTGGGCCCTGGAGCACTCACTGGCCTGGGGGTCACGGGGGGCCTAGAGCCCAGTGTCTCCAGAAGGGGACGAGCAGGGTGAGCCCCCGGCCGCCTGCCTTCACTGTGAATGGACGGCAGTGGGCCTCACAGCAGAGTCAGCCTAGCCAGACACCAGGCTTGGGCCACCCCTCACAGTAACCCAGCCCGTCCCATCATCCTGGGGACAGGAGCAGCTGGGACTGGAGCTGTGTTCACCACGGGAGGGGGGTTCCAGACACCAAAGTCTGGTGGTCTGTCCCAGGCTTCCCAACACACCCCTGGGCAGGAAGGCAGAGGCCAGCCCTTGGGGCACCCTGGACTGGAGAGGGGGTACCGGGGCCTCCCGTTGGACCCTCTGGGGACCCCTCAGACCAGACTCACGGACACGAGGCATTGGGTCTGACGCCCACCTCTCTGGGGAGCTGCCCGGAACACAGAATGCTCAGTCTGTGGGCCCCTCGTCTCCCCGGGCTCCAGGGATGGGCTATTCTGGGGTCTGCCAGGCTAAGATGGCACAGAAACAAAACCCCAGGCAGGTGCCTGTGCTCTGAAGCGGTGCCAACTACCCAGCGACTCGCATTAATTACACAAGAAAAGGTTGCGTCCTCCAGGAAAATTGGTTTCCCTCTTTAATATCCAGCCTCCGCTCGTCACAGCCCTGCCAGCCTTGCTCAGATTAGAGCACAGATGCACCCACACCCAAAATAAAATGCCCAAGTGTGAACGTGCCCTTCCCTGTGGCCTGGCGGGACCCGGCTGCCTAGTAGGTGAAGAAGTCGGGGAAGATGCTGTCCACCTCATCCCGCAGGGCCAGGCTGGGGCAGCCCACGTCGGAGCCCCATGGCTCCAGGGGGCCGTCCGGAAGCTCCTGGGAGCCGGGCTCAGGGTCCACGAGGAAGCCCGGCTCCACACTGTCCAGGGGGCTGCTCCTGGCTGGGGCCCGAGAGGGGGCACCACTGCTTTTGCCCGCCAGGGACCCTGGAAGCAGAGGGGACATGTGAGCGGAGAAGGCAGCCCCGGGGCCTGGGGAATACAGAGTGTGTCAGTGTGCAGAGAGGGGCACCTCTGCCTGCCTGCCCTGACTCAGAGCCCTCTGCTCATCTGTGACATGGGAACAGGTGGTGCCACGAGCAGGGTGGGCTCACAACACCTGCTGGCTCCTGCCCCAGCGTTAGATCCCACAGACGCTCATGTCAGCACACGTCCAGCTCCCTTGCCTAGGTATGGTCTCGACAAAGGGCACTGAAGTGACTCACACACGCACCATCAGCCGCTCACGCCGCGCCCTCACGCTCACAGGTACTCCCCGCCACATACAAAGTCCCCTTTCATTCCCCCCTCCAGTGGCAACTCCAGCACAGGAAAAAACAGGAGCAACAGACGCTGGGACCTTGGTGTCACACAGCAGGCTGGGCTTGGTCACATCACACAATCCTAGCCCCGCATCAGGATGGCTGAGGCCCCAAAGCCTGTCCCTGATCAGAGAAGGTGGCCCCGCCGAGCGTCCCCACTCACCCTGCCACCAGTCGGGACTGGCAGTCAGCAGGAAGGGCTCCCCGTCTTCCACATCGCGTCCTGACACAGACCTGCACAGGGAGCACAGAAACCCTACCGAGTGCTCCCAGGTGGCCCGTCCTCAGTCCTCAAGGCAGGCGTGGCCCCAGAAGGCGGCTTCAGGTTCAGACACAGAACGGGGGCTCCCCGCTCCCTTCAGCTTGGAGTGTGGACAGCCCACTGGCTCCCTCCAGCCGGCAGCACCTCCGTTCCCACACCCTAACTGGCGCTTGCAAAGCTCACGCTCATTTACTCTCAGCCAAGACAGAGAGCAACTGGAAGACAAAAGTGGTTTCACTTCAGAAAGCCACACGGCCAAGTCTGGCTCATCTGGGCCTTGGCTGTCCACACAGTGAGAAAGCGAGGGGTGAGGGGCAGAGACCTCCTGGGGGGCAGGGATGGGAGGTGTACACCCTGACGGGGGACCCACCTGGGGTCTGGAGTCACAGCCCTGTCAGTCCCCTGGGTGAGGGGCCCAGCTTGGCCCAGACAGCTCAGAGCCTCTTCGCTCCCCAGCATGGAGGTTGGTGGCTGAGAACAGAGATGCCAGGGTGCGGGCAGCCGTGGGTCTCTGGAGGTACTCAGGCCAGGGGTCCGCGGCACCAGGCTGGGAGGTCCTATCAGAGAAGTGAGGCCGGGTCAGCCTGTCCGGAGGCGAGCGGCACTCCCCTGGTAACGTCCATCCCTGCCCTGAGCCCTACACAGGACAAGGAGCTCGGAAACAGAGGCAGACAGGTGACCAGGAGAATGTGAACACCCAGAGGTGAGCTGCCTGACACCTGGGGCCAGGGACCTCAGGTCAGCCATGTGGGGCTCAGACCTGGAGGTCCTCGGCTGTGGCCAGCTGCCTCCCCCATCTGCCTCACAACCCTTGACCTCGGGCCCCCCTCAGGCCAGCTTCCTGCTGTGTGACCTCTGCACCCTCAAGACTTTCTGTGGGACCTGGAGTGCCCTGGTGGTCCCAGAACTGTGGACAACCGTGTCCACAGCAAGACTGGCCCGTCCTCGGTGGATGCACTCGGGGAGGGGGAGGGCACCGCCCCGCCTCCCGTGGGACTCGAGAATGACAGCATGCAGCAAACACAGGCAGGCAGCTTAAACGCTGTCACCAGGAGTGACAAATAGCCAGGCGGGGGTGGGAGTCCAGTGTGAGGGGGACAGAGCCATTAGAGGTGCCCTCTGGGCTTGGCTGGGGGTGGCGTCAGGGAACAAAGGCCCCGTGTAGGGGAGGGGAGAACCGCAGGTCTGTGACTCACCCAACTGCAGAAGAGAGAATGATAGGACTCAGGGCAGCCAGCCCCCACAGTCACGCGGGGTGGGCGAGGTGAGGTGACAGGGGGAGGGCAGGGGGGAGGAGGACGGGGGACAAGGCCCCTGTACAGCAGGGCTGCTCTCAGGAGCTGGACACAGAAGAAGCGGCCTCAGGGGTGATGAGGATGGAGCAAGTCCCTCCACCTTCCCACGCTTCCTGGGACCCCGAGAGGCCCAGGGAGAAGGAGGAGGTGGGGGGCCCTTCCTTGGGGGCAGGGGCGGTTGGGAGGGCTTCTAGCTTGGACCCTGATCCCTGGCAAGGCACCCTCCTGGCTGGGACACCTGGGGCACCTCAGCCCCCACACCTGCCCCTCGTGGGAGCCCTGGCTTGGTTTCAATGGTAAATGTCCAACCCCTGTTCAGGAACAGACCCCACTGTCCCAGGGCCCGGAAGCCACCCTGCAGGGCTTGCCAGTCTCACCCCAGACAAGGATGGCACTCACAACCATGCTCGTACCCACGTGGATACACTTACCAGGCAGGGCCACTGGCCTGTCCAGCATCTCGGCCACCCCCGTGGGGGTCTCACCCTCATCCACACCCATGGCCGCCCAGCTTGGGGGCGCCTGTTGCCTGAACAGCGTAAAGACAAAAGGGGGGGCTCTGAGCGATCTGCATCTGCAGTCCCTGTGGGTCCCCTGGTTCCCGCAGGGGATACTAACATGGTCACATTGGATGCTCCCATCCTGACATCGGGTGCACCTGCTAGGGTCTGACTTGCCAGGGCCAGCTGGAAAATGTCCTTCTGCCACTTGTGCCATAGCTCCTTGGATGGAGCAAGAACCTAAAGTTGAAATAAACATGAAAAGTGGACACGATCAACCGGGAAATCCTCAGGAAAAGTGGGCCGTGGGCCGTCACTGGCTGCCCTGCCTCGGGTTCCAGAGAAGCACCCTGAGCAGAGACCCTGGTCCTCAGGACTAGGGGCAGGGAGGGGAGGGGCTTGATCCCAGGCTGGCCTGGGCACGGTGGGCAGAGGGCGGATGCTAGGGCTGGAGGTGAAGGCCACAGCCTCACACCCGGAGGAGGTGAGGTGACAGGGAGACTTCACACAAATGGAGGAGTGTCTGCACCAAGGTGGCCCACAGAGCTGTGCAGGGCGGAGCTGCCCCACGGCCAGCCCTCCTTCCTGGGCTGACCGGCACCGTTCACCACTCACAGCGTGCTGCTCCCAGCTGGGCACCAGGGTGCCGGCCAGCCGCAGAAACTGCACTGACATCTCCAGGACCGAGGCCATGTCCTCCCGCCGGCCATCGAACTGGGGCAGAAGGGCCCGCAGGTGCTCACAGCTCGCTGAGATTCGCTTCCTGCTTCCAGACAAGTAACAAACATCCATGAGCCTACCTGGCGGTGGCCAGGAAAAAGAACTACAACCCCCACTCCAAGCAGCCCTGGGGCTTCCCAGGTAGGACCACAGGCCAAGGCCACTAGGCAGCCCTCCCAATGGTCTGAGTCCCTCAGGGATCTGTGTCAGGGCACATATCTGGGCCTTCACTGCTTGGGGTTATGTTGGGGGGTGGGGCCAAGGCAGAGCCTGGGGTCTAGAGGGCCCAAACGCACAACCTCAAGATGCCCAGGGCTTCAGGTCATAGAGGGGGCTGCAGCGGTGGCCCCTGCCTCCACCCCAGGGTTTTCCTGTTTCCCTTGGGGTGGTGCTAACTGTCCACTCCCTTACTGAACAGATGCCAGCAGCTTATCCCAGCTGCCTCAAACCCGACTGCAACCACAAATCTGACCTCTGGCACCCCCTTCCCACCCCACGCTTTCCCAGGCTGGGCGACCCCTCCCCCCACAGCCGCAGCTGATGCCCACCTGCGCTCCCTCTCGCTCAGCACGCTCCGCGGGAGGCGGCAGCCAGGACCCTCCGCCATCGCGGGGGTCTTGCCCAGACCTGAGCCCCGGCGGCGGTCCTTGCAGCGGAACTGGCCGCTGGTCGAGAAAGAGCTGCTGCTGAGAAGTCAATAGCACCGGACGCCGTGAACCCCAGAAAACCACCAGAGCCCAAATACGGTAACGGACGTATTTGGGGGCAGCTGGGCACGGGTGCAAGACAGGGCCTGGAACACAGCGGGGGCCCGGCCGCCCCTCCTCCCACGGCCCCAGGTCTGCCCCAGGTGGGCCATGCTGGGTGGGCGCTGGGACTCAGTCCATTTGGTTGGGCGAAAGCGTGGGGCCCGAGACACCTCTGGATAGACACCCCGAACACCTCTGGATAGAGGCCGTCCACCTCACCCTCTCCAGTGTCTCCAGCCCCCCATTCCTCACCTGCATCCTCTGGAAATGGGGACTTTGGGAACCCCAGTATTAGGCTGGGGGTCCTGGGAAGCCATGAGCGTTGCAGGAGCCCTAACAAAGCCTGGAACCCCTGCGCGTACACGTGCGCGTCCTGCCAGCCCCGCCCACTCACGTGCTCTCTGCCCGCCCCCACGTGCTCCCCAGCCCGCCAGCCAGCACCTGGCCCGCTGCGCATTTGCCCTACTGCGCACTTGCCCGGCCTCCCACGCACGCGTTACCCCACGCTGCGCTCTACCCCTGGCCTGCTTGGCCTGTGTCCCCCAAAGTTCCTCCCACGGAGAAGTGGCCAGAAAGTGGTGGCCGGGTGCCACCGCTCCAAGCCCCCAGCGGCGCGCTGCGGCAGGAGGCCTAGACTGGGTGGTCCTCCGGCGCTTCCGGGCCGGTCAGCCCCGCTCCCACTGCGGTGTGCTCTCCCCTCGCCTACCCGCCCATGGGTGCCTCCTGGGTGCCAGCTCTGAGCTGGGTGCTGGCCATTTGCAGCCGTGGGCCCTGCCCTAAAGGAGCTCACCACGTGACGGACAGCAAGTTACTAGCCTGTAAAGCGAGAGGGCCAGAGCGGGTGTCCTTAGGGCGACACGGTGACTCCCAGTACAGCTGCGCAGCATGTCAAGCTGGAGCACAGCGGGAGCCCAGGCCAGTCCCTGGGCTGGCACGGGGCGCCTGGTGGCCAGGGGCCCAGAGGTGGGCAGGTGGGACCTCCTTTTGGGGGAAGGAATTGGTCTTCACCGGAGAGTAGAGGGGGACCTACAAGGGTGGGGGGAGGAGATCGAGGTTTCTAGAATCTTGTGGGGTCAGTGGGAGTAGGAACCAGGACACAGAGGGAGTGGGGAGGCTGTGTAGCCATATCTATGGGAGTTGGGTCGGTGAGGGACCCGGTGGAGGGTACCCACCTGCCCTTCACTGCCAGCAAGTCCAAGGCCCACATGTGCCCACCCCCAAAATTGCATCCTCTTAGGGCGCTCTGCTCAAGTTGAGTGCCACCATCCACCAAGAAGCAGGAGGCACCCTGACTACACCCCAGCACCATTCACCCCCAGGTCTCCCCACCTCTCTGCGCCTTCCCCAGCACCCAAGCCTGAAGGCTGCTTGGTCTTCCTGCCTGTGCCACCCCTACCCTGGGCTCAGGCCCAGCTCCGCTGTGACATGGCCTCACTCCTGCCTGTTCTCTGCCGGTATCCTTCCCTCAGCTCAAGCGTTACCCCCACGAGGTTCTCCTCAGAGCCCCAGTTTCCAGCAGGCTCCTTGGAGGGGTGCACCTAGTGCTCTGAGCAAGTGGTCCCTGGGCCTGTCTGTTCATCTCGCTGGTCCGCCTGGGGCCGGCCAAATGCTGGGCAGGCAGGAACTGCTCAATGACTATTTGCTGGAGGACTGGTAGACAGGGAAGGGAGGGAGCCTGGAGACCCCTCCCATTTCAAGGGGTCCTGGGACTTGACTCCTCCCTGGCAGAGTGGGGCCAAGGTTTGAGTTCCCCGAAGCCCTCAGAAATGTCACAGAGCATGTCATTGCTGCCAACACGCTGATCTCTCATTGAGCAGCCAGCTGAGGGGTCTGCAAGATGGACACACACCAGCAGGAGTCTCGAGGAGGCCAGAGTCCTCCTGGCGACTGTGCCTGGCTGGGGTGCCTGGGACCCTGTGGCAGTGTCCACTGCTCTGGACAGAGGGCAAAGGCCCTCAAGATATACTACTACTGCTGTGCCGGGTAGGGGTGCATCTTGCACCCCTTCTGGGGAGTTGGGAGCATGCCAAGCCTCTGCCAAATGCCCCCCCCCAGCATCTGTGCTCAGCCTGCTGTCTTCTGGAAGCAGACGTGCAGGACCTCAGGAGAGACACTGCAGGTGTGGGGACCATGAAATACACTGTGCCCCTGAGATCACCTGGCCCAGCTGTGCCCTGGGGAGCCCCTGCACTGACCGCTCCATGGCAGTCTGGGATGGTGCCCAGGTCTTGAGAAAAGCTGTGGGTGAGGCTGGCTCTGCTCCCCGCACCCAGTCTGACTCCCCAGACCCTGTCCCTTTGCTCAGCCTCCGTGTGTGTGTGTGTGTGTGTGTGTGTGTGTGTGTGTGTGTCCTCTCTTGTCTGTCTCTCCCTCTGTCCCTCTGTCATGCTCCTGCTTCATGCGAGCCTGGAGAGCGCTGCAGACCAGCAGGCTCCTGGGCACTAGTGTGAGGACCCGGCCTGGACCCTAGGCCAGGCAGGCTTAGTCTAAAAATACCCCAGCCTTGAAAAATAAGAGGAAGCCACACTTCAGCTACTGCAGCTAGACTTAGTGTCCTGTTCAGACACCAGAGTGTGGTAATAACAAACTGAAACTTAATATCACAAGAAATGATTATAGTAAAAGCTTAGATTTACAAGAAATGGGTTGAAATCTTACAGACGTATTTTTTGCAACTGGTTTGAGACATCTCACCAAAACTAGCAGCTGTTCTTGCTTCTGTACATTTGCTTTGCTTCTGCTTTTGCCCCAAATCCCAGAAATCAAAACTTCCACCTGCCAAGACCTCGGGGCCGTTCTCCTCTTGCAGAATGAGGCGGTCGCCAGGTTTGGCTGAATAAAGCTTTTGGAACAAAAACTCTGTCTCTTAGGTCATTTTTAAGAAGTAAGGACCTAACATTAGGACAGAAGGGAGGGCTGCACCTGCCTGGCGCTCTATGTGAGCGCACCTGCGTCAGGGTGGACCTGTGAGCAGGGGCCAGGGGTGATGTGCTCAGGCCCTGCAGCAGGACTCTGCTTCCTGGGGCGCCTTCCCTGGGGTCTTGGGCTGCAGCAGGGTGGGGGCCCTCTGCTTGCCCTGGGCTCAGCCCCAGCTCCACTCCTCACTGCCTGTTTAGCCCTGTGAGAGCAGAGCAGGGCTGGGGGCAGCTTGCAGCCACTCTGGCCTCCTGTGCAGGGAGCCCTTTCCTCCTCCCAGGCCCAACTGGGTCTCCCAGGTGTGGTGCCCGCGGACAGATGGGTTTTGGTGCAGGTTTCTGCAGGACTGACCAGCATCCTGGGTGGGAGGATCTGCTGCTCCGCCCAGCGGCTCAGAGCCAGGCAGGACCAATCAGCCGGGTGCGTCACCATTGCTTGTTCGCTTTAAACACAAGCGTCCCCGAGTCCACCAGCCCCCTCGGAGACTCCTGAGGGGCTGAGTCCCCTCCCACCACGGAGCCCAACCCACAAGGGCGCATGGCTCTGGCGCGCTTGAGGTTTTCGAGCCATTAAAGAGCCCCTTCCAGTTTCTCATGGTCGGAAGGCTCCCCGCGCCATGATGGTGGCGGATCCGGGCGCCCCTCCCGAAGCTGCCGCGGTTCTAGGCGCGGCCGGCAGGGGGCGCGCAGGGACAGGAGCCCGAACCTGATCGTAGGACACGTTTTTCTTCGCCCCTTAAGCAGAGATAGAAAAGTATTTCAGGGCCAAGCGAGGGCAGAAGTCTTCTGTCGCTCCTGACTCGCTTCTCCCTCGGCTGCGGGTCCTAGCTGCCGCCGGCCCGCATGCCGCTCCCAGACGGGGCGCGCAGCCCGGGGGGAGTCTGCAGGGGGACGCGGGCGAGGGCTCGCGGCGGGGGCCACACCAACCGGACCTTCGTGTTTGATGACGGCCGATGCGCCCCCAGGTACAGTCGGCTGCGCCCTTCCCCACGCAGAGGGACCCCAGTCTGGGCTAGTGCCATTCCCCCAGGACCCCCCCACCTCTAGGGATCCACTTCCCTAAAATCCCCACTTCCAGGACCAGCCACCCCCCCAGAACCAGCGAGCTCCATCCCCAGACCACCATGGGGGAACGGGCGCCCCTCAGGACCTGGTCAGGCAAGGGGGCGGGCACTGGCTCCAGTGATCGCCGGTGCCCAGGAGGTGCTCCTCTGTGCCCTTAACGCGAAGGTAGCCTGAGCAAGGCCAAGTTTAGATGCAGGGCTGAGCTGTCTCCTAGATGATGGGGGGTGCGGACCCCACAAACTGGGAAGCTGGGTGCCATGTGTGCCGTAGGGGCCGGGTGCTGCTCGGCCTCCCAGTCCCCATTGGGCCGAGCCTGGAGGAGGGGCCCATTTGGGGTGCTCCCGCTTCGGTGTGGCACTGCTGTGCCTGAGTGGGGCACAGGTACTCACAAGAAGTGGGTTTTGGAGGGCCTCTCTTCCCAGGAAGAGCCCTGATTGGGGTGCAGGTGCCAGCCATGGTCGGCCATCCTTCTCTTTGTAGTGTCCAGGATGCCACAAGGCTCATGCCCTCCCATAGGTGACTGGCCCAGAGGTGACATTTCTGAGGAGGGTTTGCATCTCTCCCCTGTCCCGCCAGCCCTGGAGAACAGTGACATACGTCTGTCCCCCCAGCTTGTGCCAGGAGCCAGACTCCACCTGACCCACTGCCTGCCCCTGCCTGTGTGACGGTCCCCAGCTGGGCAGAGCCCTGTCCTCTGGGCTCTGCATAGTTGGGTTGTTCTGAGGCCAGAGAGAAATGGACAAACACACCTGGAAGGTGGGGGGCCTGGGTTTGAGGCGAGGTGCTGTCACCGACAATTCTTCTTTGAGACTCGGCCTCCCATATGTAAAGTGAGGAGAGGTGGAGTGGGTGGTCTTTAAGTGTCGTTTCTGGTGGGGAACCGGGCTCGGGAGGGCAAGTCTCTAGCCACGTGTCAAAGGTCAGGGTGGTTTCTCCACACAGCACTGGCCTGGCACCCGGGGGGCACTGGGGTTTCAGCTTGGGGGAAGGGGTGTGTGCTCTGAGAGCCGGCCTCACTGGGATATTTTTGGGAAGCAGACTTAACCCCTTGAAGTGAGTGCAGCCTGAACCCCGGGCCGCTCTGAGGGGTCAACCAGGTCATGTCCACTAGGCATAGAGTAACCCTGAGAAGGTTCGTGCCCACGTCTGGGCAGAGGTTGCCCCTCTGCCCATCTCGCTTCTTGGACAGGTGTCTCCGTTCCTGGTTTTCCTTCTCTAAGTTCACCTGCCCCGATGACCTCCAGATGGGGCGGGAGCTCTGTGTCCTCAGGGTCTGGGCCCGGTGGGCTTAGTACCCCCAGACAGCTCTGTCTCCCCTGAAGTACCCCCGGTGCGCT